CTCATGTTGAGTGAATATAAAAATTTTAAATTCATTTAAAATTTTTATTTTAAACATATACTATTTTTAATGTTTTTAATATATTGATTAACTAATATAGTAACTTTTAAGTTACTAGTTTAATAATTCTTTAATTGCTCATACTTACTTCACACTACGGGCAAATTCAAGTATACTCTCCTTTGTTTCATTTTCGTTACCAATATATGGATTATTTTGTATGTATTTATTTCTTCTCATTATAACTTCAATTTCGAATTCTATTTCAAATTCTAATCCACAGCCTCTACAATCAAAATTTGAAATCTTTTGATTTTTAACAAGCGCCCTCATTATGTCTTCACTGGTATCCCATTCAATTTGTACACCTTTAAAATCCAATTCTTGCAAAGGTTTGTGACAAGCTAAAAGTTCGTCAGCTATACAACAACTTATGCCACTCTGACTAACCTCAATTCCATTGAGACACAATTTTGATACTTGCTCCGTACCAATTATAGCACTTACGAAACTATGCAGACCTGCATCTTCAAGAGGGTTTGCTGCAAGTCCTACGTATTCAACTACTCCTTTATAATCTTCAAGTGCTTCACCAAACTTTTCCATTACATTTGGTCCCAAATAATTTCCTTCCAATTCAATTGATTTTACGTTTTTCGTAAATTGTAATAAGTCTGATAAGCGCAAACAATCGTCTTGTAGTTGATCATATCCAAAGTCTAATACTTCTAAATCTTGTAGAACAATTAATGTTTTAAGTAGAATATTTAATTTTTTCGAGTTCATGCGACTGTTACGTAAGCGAAATATTTTTAAAGCTTTTAATCCATATAAACCCCTAAGAACAATACAATACAATAATTTATATAGTATACAAATCATAAACAACTACAATATATTGTTTACTAACCGTCCTAAATTTTTTACATCTTCATATGAAAATTGAAAATATTTTGTATGATAATTACGTCCAAGCCTTGGTCCCTGAAACTCTATTTGGAACGATACCAAGTTATCGAAGAAGCGTATAAAACTTAAATTTATATGATTGCAATGTTTTGGGGGATACTTATATCCTTTATCCTTTTCCAATGCTTTACCAATGTTTCTTTTATCTTTAAATTCATTTTCATGATCATCTTCTTCTTCTTCTATTTCTATTTCAAATACGTCTTTAATAGCCTTCTTTTTTTTTTTTTTTTTAACTGGTGCAGGAGGTGGTTCTTCTTCGACCTCTTCTTCAGGGATTACTATACCATAATATTGCCTTTCTCTTGCTTCTTTTTTTAATCGTATAGCTTCACGTCTTGCCTCATGGTTTCTTTTTCGTTCCAATCTTAATTCAGCTTTTGCTTTTTCCATTTCTAATTGCTCTACAGTTTTTTCTTCTTCTGCATTTTCATCTTCATAAGGTACCTCAGACTCAGAGGTAGTACTTATATCGCTTTCACTTTCCGTTTCAGATAGATCGCTATCGATATGTTCCATTAAAGTTCCATCTTCTAATGCTTGTAATCTGCTTATATGCATGTCGGTTACAAAATCCTTAATTAGTAAAGCCAAAGGCTGCATCTCATCTTTTGGCCAATATTCAGACGGACATGCTTCTACCAATTCAACAAATTTTAATGAAGCTCCTAAACCTCTCCAATCAACTGATTCTTTGTGAATTAATGATTTATCTTCACTCTTTGCTAAGACAAGTCTACGCCAAAAGCCCTCATCTTGAACAAAATAACATTTTTCTAAAGCTGTTTCTATATCCAAAGAATCGTAAAAAATACGACACTTAAGTGGATCATCTTTAAAGGAATCATCTAAACCCTTCGGACCATATTCTCTTGCTAAAGTAGTTACACAGATATCAGCGAGGGTGCCTAATTTTTTATTAAGTAAAAAGACATCGGGAAATAATTCACGATATCTTTCACTTTTTAGTTCGATAGTTTGAGGAGTTGCTTGATATACATTATATGCTGTTAGAAGTTTCTCATCATCTGGAATACGAAATGTATTCAAATGCACAGGATACCTTCGAGTTTCTTCCGGTATTTCTCCTTCTGCCATTACCACTATTTTGTAATTAATAAAATGGATTTTTAACTCATTTCTCAATATATTTAATAAAAAAATGTAAATATTACAAAATTAAATTGAATTTTTATTCTAATCTTTGACAGTTATGGTTTTCGATAAATAACAATTTTTTGTTTTATATTAAATTGATCAAAAAAATATTACAGGTAAATATATCAAATAATAAGAAAATAAATAGTTATAAAAACATGAGTGTAATATTTATTTATAAAGTAGCTATATAATTTTGAGTTTTAAAAAATAATGAATTGTATACAAACAACTAAAACTTTTTTGTGTTGCAAACTACAAATCATAATAATTTCAGAGTGATAAAAAAAAGTAAAATAAAATTATAGTTAAGTGCTTTATTTTAATACTGGGGATCCACAATACATTATGTTTTCCTTCTCTCCTTTTGATGTATAAAATATGGATAGAGATTAATCTTGTGTTGCTTTTGGTCATTGTAAATGCAAGACAAACAAGTAGACTTTGCCAAAATTCGATTGGTATAAAGTAAAAGCTCCACCGAAGAGTTGTGAATTTAAACGTAGGTCTTTAAGAATTCGATTTAGAACTTCATATAATTTCTTATGGATCGCGTTACATTCATCCTATACATTAAGACTGAAAAGTTTTCGGAAATTCTCATTTAAAATTCGCGCGCTGTATATTTTTCGATATTTTAAGTTTATGTAGTTTGGCAGCACTGTCCTTAATTACTATGCCAAAAATGAGCTCGATCTGTCAGACAGTTCGTTTACGGCAGCTGTTGAAACCAGTTCACCTCAGTAGTGCGTTGCGAAATGTCTTCGACGGTCGTACGACCGTCCTGGAAGGCTTTGTACCACTCATAAACTTGAGTTTTCGATAAAACTGATTCCCCATAAGCCTTTTGTAGCATTCGCAACGATTCTGCACACGAAATTTCGTTCGAAACACAAAATTTGATGCAAACTCTTTGTTCAATATTTTTTTCCATTGTTTTTTTCGCAACGCCCTACTGAGGTGAACTGGTTTCAACAGCTGCCGTAAACGAACTGTCTGACAGATCGCGCTCATTTTTGGCATAGTAATTAAGGACAGTGCTGCCAAACTACATAAACTTAAAATATCGAAAAATATACAGCGCGCGAATTTTAAATGAGAATTTCCGAAAACTTTTCGGTCTTAATGTATAACAATTTTACATGTTTGCAGAATTTTATGCTAAAGCAGAAAGTATTTGATCTTCGGTAAAATATATATATACAATGGCAGAATGCAGAACGATTCCTAATGATGGCAGAACATAAACTGTTCCAAAAAAATATAATTTTAAACACCTTTTAGTCTTAATGCTATAGTTAGTTCAGACAATATGATACCGACCATACATATTGGCAAAATGAACAAAACAATTATGGAAAAAAAGTTAGATGCAAAAGTTTGGAACATATGTATAATACCTTTAATATTATACAGTTGGGTTTAAAATACTACTGTGCATACTGTGTTGAACTAGACATGGAAGAGTCGTACTATACTTTGCTGCAGACAGAAATAGTTTTTGTTTTTCTTTGTAAATAGTCAAGGCGTCATATAGGCATCATATTGCGTCAATGAGCGCAAGTGATAATAGACCATAAACAAATTGAACCAATCTTTATAATAGTCAAGGGGTTATGTAGGCAGCATCTACATATTGGATATCTTCCAAAATATCAGATTGATTGAATCAGCCGTGAGCTATGTGTAATTTAGATTCCTGACTATAACAGGGAAATTAAATTCTTGACAATATTAATAAATTTGGCACCTTTGCACGATATATACAGACAACTGATAAACACATGTTGAAAAAACCGAAAAATTGGTAGAATGACTTACATATGTAGCCAGGATCACAAGAAAACATATATTCGATAAAAATATCATAATTCAATTTTTTAATGACCAAAAGAAATGATGATGATGACTATAGATTATAGTCGAAATATTGGACAATAAAAATCTTATAAAACTAATTAATTTTTTTGAAAAAATATCATTATTTAATAACTGACCAATTAGCCCGTGAAATAATTATTTTTATAAAAATATCATCAAATGTTTTGTTCGATTGAAAAAATTTAAGAATACTTATTAATATTTTCACCAGCCCGTACCTGATTGCAAAACTTGTGCATAGCTTTAAGGGGCTAAACTTTGTCCCCGATATTAGAGTAAACTATCTTTTAAAGTTTGGTCATGGTATCGCTATGCATGGTGTCGGGCAGCCAGACCTACGTACCTAAACATATTCCTGCTTTTCTTTTCACTGTGGAGGGTAAGCGGCACATAGTCATCAATATTGATGAGCTGCCTCAATATTCCTTCTTTTTAATTCCATTGTTAATATAGTAGAAGGAACTTTAAAGTAGAAACACCGATAAAGACAATTTTTATTAAAAAGCAATAAACATATTGCTTAAAAGCATAGTATCTTTTACACAAAAAATTAACTCTTGTATATGCTATAGATTTCTATCTAATTTCCATATTCCTAAAGTTCAAAAAAAAAATATATGATACTATCAACCAAATACATACCTTATCAGAATATTTCAATAAATGAAAAACCATTAGATTAAATTGTATTATGTATATAAATAAAACTTTATTACAAAATTCATATAAGAGTATGTATACAGTATATATATATATATATATTGTAGAACTAAAAAAATATTTAAAGTTTTATCTTCTACTTTTTATGTACCTAACTGGAATTTCCGGTAAATAAATGCATATTAAAAAGATTATTGGACCAAATATGATCATGGACAACATATAAAATATTATTAAAAAAATTGTCATTGGGTCCATGCAGTATAAAAATGATGTAATTAAAATTTCAAATGTTAAAATAATGTTAATATATTTTTTATATAATTTCAAAGATTAAATTCTTTGCATATGGCATATGATAAAGAAAATATAACAAAAAAATATATATGAGTTAAATAAAAATGATTTCAAATAATATATGTAAATAATTGAAATATGTAAGCTTACATGGCTAATATCACTACAACTAGAAAAGCAAAATAGTTGCACTTATTAAATAATTATAAAAATTAGTAAAATAGTTTAAACAGGTAACTTAAGCTTTCCTGGACGATATTGGATAATCACTCCATGTAGAATTGAAGCATATTTTTTTGTTATAAATATATATTTTCGTCCATGTAAGTAAGTAAAATTTACAACACCAAAGTCAAATTTATGAACGCCACCTGAAAATATTAAAAAAAAGGTTTAAATTATATTTTAATTTTAATAAAATAAGTTATTTATATAAAAATTTCAAAACATATGAATGTATACAGACTGTAAACAATATATCACCATGGTATACTTTTTTAACTATGTCATACTAAACTTAAGCATCGTTTACGTGCAGTTCTGAAGGATATTCTAGTGGAATATATATTTCAGAACTACGTAAGACTGCATATATATTTTTCAAATGGTTTTTGTTTAATTTTTATTTTTAAAATATAAAGCTTTAGGGCTAAAATATAGAATCAGTACTGTATGTAAACTGTTTACCAGATATAAGACCTATTCACACAACATTTGTTGATTTGTAAATATGAATTTTATAGAAATATTTTTATTAGGGCAACATTAGTTAACGAAGTTATTATAGTAAACTTCAGTAGAAAAGAACAGTGATTTATTATTATTATTTGCAGCTACTTTACAATATAATATTCTTAAGGTCTATTGTAGCCCGGGTAGTTCCACTGTTCTATTAAACAAAAACAATATTTTTAACATATTTTCATATAAATTTGGAGAGAATATACATATATTTATTTATATAGTATTACAGATCAATACACTTCCTTATACAATGTGGGAAATGTATATATGCCTCTATATGCTTTCTTCATAAACTATAGTAAATGAATCTGCCCCTTCAAAATTCGTATTTTCTTGTAATATTAATAATGTTTCGTATAAATGTCTGTAACCTCTTTTTTTAGTTTTGTAAATGACATATGTATTGCTTATATATGAAAATTTCATATTTTCTAATTTTTTTTTTTTTTGAAGACTTTATATTACATATATACATATATACAAATGATAAAATTTATTTATAATGTAGTAAGAAACTCTTGAAAACGTTTCCAACTCAAACCCATGCTTTTCCGGTACTGAGTTCGCTTGAATTTGAGATTTCTTTTAAATTTGAGAACTTTTGAATTTGATAACAATTGAATTTTTATTGTAAACAAAGTTCGTAGGTAAAAATTTGGATATGGTTGTCATATATGCTTATAATTTAGATACAACAAATGTGCTAACAAAAAATGTCTTCTTGTAATATTACTATGTTTTAAAAATTTGGTTATTAGGTAAATAAAATTAAACCAAACATCAATTCCGATCAACATTTGTATATAAATCCCGGCGGAGTTTTATTCATCATCATTCATAGTTATTAGGTCCATGTAGGACCTAAGTAACATTCATATCTTTATATCTCTCAGATCTTATCGAACATTCTCATCATACCATCTCTTTCTCGGTGTTCCTTTTTTTCTGGTTGTTCTAATTTCACTCTCGAAGGTTCTGACTGCTGCTCTTTCTGGCGGAGTCCTATTAGTAAACTATATAAGTTACACTGGCAATAAACAAGAGTCATTTTAACAACATTTTCGTAGAAGTTTTATCGATCGTTTCGAAAAGATAGTGAACAAAAAAATGTAAGTAAAAATTGGTAAACTGTATAGGTTACAACAAAAATAAACCAATCATCATCAGTTTTAAAAATCTTATCGGTTAGATTAATTTTAAAATAGCTACAATATTCTATAAGTTTTGATTTTAATCTGGAAAACTTTTTTAAATGAATTTACAGTAACAAGTCTGTGTCAAAGTGATTAAAAATTTTGATTTTAAAATTATAAGATTTTGTAATCGTTTTGAAAAATGAATAGTTAATTAATTTTCTATGTATAAAACTTAGAAAAGCAAGATTTTCTTTTAATTGATATTCATATTAATTATATATATGAATATAAATATATATATTTTGTATATAATTTTATAATCGTTTATTAAAATAAATATTTAATAAATATTCTGAATATTTTACTAAAGTAAGGCTTTTTAATTATTTCATAAATCTCACTTCTTTCATTATAAGCACAGTCATTTCCGTAATATCACAATATCGAATCTCTTGTCTGAAAACATTATAAAAACAATTAACTTTCTCAAAACAATCGACGTATATATTCAAATATAAAAATTCTATAATATATATATGATGTTATTATTGTAATTTACAATCAATGTATAAAAGTAAATTTAGTAGCTTAAGGCATTGTTGCTATATAGTAACACCTTGCTCTATAATATGCATACTCTTGGTATATAATAGTATGCATAATAATTGTAAATTCATAAATAAATAAATAATTATTAAATAAAATGCATATTGAATTAAAAATATTTTTTCCTTGACTAGTTTATGGTAGTTGATTATTTAGTATTGGAAAGTTCACATAAATTTACAATTTCTTGGTTGAGTAAATGAAGTTTTTAGTAGTTAACTTATTAAGTTATTCATTTATTATTTTTATGATAATTATTTAAAGCAAGTGAATAGGGCTATCGCTTTCGTCTCTAATTAATAATATGTATCTGTAAAAATGCATATAATAAAAAATATTTTCTTTTCCTTTAAAATTGATAAAGACGAGAAGTGATTCCGGTTTTATTGCACCCACATTTTTTGATTACACAATATATAATTTTTTTAATCACTTACATATATTTCTGCTCAGTAAAATAAATACAAATTTATCTGCTGATTTCACTGTGTAACTGTAATTTGGTAACTTCGATTCAACGCCTTTTATAACGAAATATTGCGTTATCCCGGATTACTAAACTTTCAGTTTGGTGTTAAATTCTGTGATATTTATAAACACAAATTTTATGAAAAGATAAAAATATAATTAAGTCCAAAGCAAAGGCAACGAAAAAAACATTATTAATAATTACAATGAAACAAAATGTTGGAAATATTTTTAGCACTTTCTTTGTGATAATCGATATGACGTCATGCTCATAAAGATAATACTTCTAGATAAATTCAACTCATGAACGTATTGATTGAACTGAGTTTTAATTTAAGACTGATTTCAATTGCTTGAATTCTTCTAAGACTGACTTTGTTCTCAAAACTAAAGGCGCGAAAAAATAGCTTATCGAACACACTTCATGCATGGAGCTTGAGACTTAAGCTTGCAACTTAGAGTAAATAGTAAGCTTCGACGACTTGGGCATTTGGCCAGCCAATTTAAAGCTTAGAAACTGGATTCCGGACTTGACAGTTACAACCATAACTTTAGATAATGAGTCACTTATACCACAACAATAATATTCGATTTAATGTACGCATTCTTTTTCCATTCTTTTTGGACTATGCGAAATAAATTTAGTTTATTTGCTTTAAAAAATATTGTCTGTATTTCTATTGATTATAGTTTTAGTTAATAGTGAGTTTTTTGTTTTGTTCAAGGTAAACAATTTAATTTATTTAAAGTATGATTTATTTATTTCAAATTTATTCTATTATAAATGCATATAAAAAATATATCATTTTATAAATGAATCAATTCTGTAATTTATGCAAGTGAAAAAGCTTTTTATTTAGAGTACCATTAAAACACTTAATAAACACGCCCGCCTCTCTCACCTTGTTCAAATATTATTAGATTCAAAATACCTACGGACTATATCGAATGTTTACCTCTGACTAACAAAATATTTTTTAAAAATACTGCAAAATTCTTAGATCTAAAACAAAAACTAAAAAACAAATGCATTTCTTTGTATTTCTATAAATTTATTATATTTTGTATATAAATTGTTTTCATTTTATATTTTGATAAAAAATTTTTTAATTGTGATAATGTTTAAGAATAAACATAAACAAAAGCTTATAAAACTAAAAAAAAAAAAACAAAGAAAACATTTAGCGTTGGCTATACCGAAATTTAAATACCCTTCACACTGCTTAATTTTTATAAAAGTGTTCGAAATAAAAAAAATAAATATATATTTTACACAATATTCATTAATTTTTATTCGAGTAGATGTCAATGAGCACCATTTACTCTTTTTGGTGGGTGAACCTGTTAGTATCTCACTAGAAGTGTCAGATGATTTTGATGTTTATGTGAGTTGAATGTTGTAGTATCTTTATATGGCAGCAATTTGTATATAAAAATCTGTACTGAAATAAAAAATTTCATACAGAAATGTTTGTCGATTGGTGAATAAATAAATTTTGCGACATTGATTGAGATATTGAAAATTGTTTCAAATTAAAATAATGTAAATTTGTTAAGAGTTGAATTGAATTAAAAATTAATCCATTAGTTCAAAAAACAAAAGAAAGTGCAATAAAGGAATCAAATCTTTTAGTAGATATATTTTATATAAAATTTGATTACCTCCAGCTCAAAAGGTACCCGGATTTTGTAAATAAAACACACAAATTTAAATTTTATTCCAAATTTATTTTATCTTCTTCAAAATATGCTCCTTCTGAAGCGATACACATCTACCAACGCTTAACCCAATCTTCCATACACTTTTCGTAGGCCCGTGCAGGTATGGTTTTTAGTTCCTTCGGCGAACTCTCTTTTACCGACTCAATCGACTCAAAACGCTTACCACGAAGGGGCAATTTGAGTTTCGGGAACAGGAAAAAGTCGCACGGATCCAAATCTGGCGAATATGGTGCCTAAGCGATGACAATGGTGCCGTGTTTGGTCAAAAAATCGCGTACAACAAGAATTTTCCATAGTAAAAATCGCTAAATGCACTTAAGGTAGTCTCACATTAACAGCTGCTGTAATTGACAGATGGTGCTCAAATTTATACCATTTGTCAAGAAAGGGTGTACATTTTTGAAAAAGGTCTATTACTTGAGGAGTAGCTACCAAAAAACAAAATCCGGATACTTTTTGAGCAGAAGGTATAATGTCAGCTATGATAGCAGTGACTATTTTACTTAAAAGAAACTATTGTATTTAATAGAGAGGTTTCAAATAATAATAAATTGCAACAACAAAAAGTTTAATTTATTTTTAATTAATTAAATTTTTGGCTGATCATACTGCTGTATCAAGTATTGCCAAACACCCATCAACAGTGATCTTGTAATTATTTCTTACATTCAATTATTCGTAAATAATTTTTTGAGACTGTAAGTACCAAGGGTTGAACTCGTACCCTGCCAAATATGAAGCTCAGAGTCAGTGTTAGCTAAATAGTCAAAACTGTAGCTATATTTTTATTAAAGTCAATTTTTTTTTAAGAATTTTAAATTTTATATTGAGCCTTTTTTTTAGCTTATTTGTATACGTATTTCGGAAATTCGCTTTTACCTTAATTAGCAGAATTCCTAATATTAAAAACATCTATAAAATATACAACTATACAATATTTTTATATTGTATAATTAAATAAAATAATAATAAATTCATCACTCACAGAACTTATATTAACAGATTAATTATGGTATGGGCAATGGTTTGTTTGACACTTTCTCACATTCATTCTTGCACTATACATATACGATAAACATAACAGAAAATAATAAAATACTACCTATATCGTAATGGCTAAATAATTGGCTATTGGGGTTACAAATTTGCTTACTTACATTCTCTCTTGCGCATAAACACATACATCACATCATATGTAATAGCAAAACATGTATTCCTAATATTAATGTTATTTCACTTGATCTTTAACTAAAATAGACCATAAATTTATTGGGGCAATGAGTTCTTGGTTTGATTGATAGTTAATTTACTTATTTTCGCACAACCACATATACATACAATATAACAATAATAACAATAAATTATTGAATATAATAACAGTAATACTCATGTTATTTTCAACATCAATCAGTTGATAAGAAATAATAAAAATCTTGCCGGATATTAACGACTAAGCAAGGAAATAAAAATTATTTGTAAAAACTTCTCATAACATATTTTTGAAGTTAAATATGAAATTATTTTTTTATAACACCGAATCACTGAATTGTGCATTGCGAGAAAGTAATTTAAATTGTCTATTTATAATGTATAAGAAGTTTGCATTTAAGTCGTCCCTTAGTGTGAGTCGGTATAACGGATTGATTAAAAAAACTTTGTTTACTTTGCATGTGATCCCCAAATCTCAAGATATCATAACCATGCTCTCTTCTACTGCGTGGGCAGAATATCCTTCATCTTTTTCAATTCACTTTAATCTCCGAAGGAAAGTGAATTGGTTAGAAAAAATCTATTTACTTTGCACGTGATCTTTGGCATCTCCAGAAACCATAACCATGCTCTTTTCTACTGCCCGCGCAGTCTTTACCTTATTAGAAGGTCTTTCATCTTATTCAATCCGCTTTAATCTGTGAATTAAAATTGTATAATAATCTGTGGTAAAAGTCTAGCTGGTACTACTTCAATCCTGATGGCGCGAGTCCTAGAACTGTTGAAACGATTGTATTTTTGTTCTAAGATCAAATAACATGACACCATATATACGGAAAGCTTTCTGCTACCTAAAACTTAGTGGAATATATTTCAAATAATGTTAATTGACACACTCAAAACCTATCTACCTATCTCACAATCTATTTTCAATAGGATTTCATAAGCAACACTCGTACGACCATGTTATTACCTAAGTATATGATGGAATCTTGAATGTATATCTAAAAATTTAAATTTAAGTGTGAGTAGAATGTCCGGATTTATGCAATACCGATTTTATCGCTTGATAAAAATTTTACTAATAGCATAAATAATCTCAAAAGAATAACAGAATTCAAAAGCACTTACATCTATAAACTTTAATGTTAAAAATTAACATTAATTAAATTTAACATTACTTTTAAAAATCGCAATAATTTCGAATATTATTAAAGACGTAATATAAGTATATATTTTATTTACGATACCTACTAATCCAGTTCACACATATTTTTCTTTATAAAATCGCAAAAAAATATATTAATCAAATTAGTGTTTATTAATTTGTAAAACCGACGCACTTGCCTAAAATTAATAAATTTATTAAAGTGATAAGAAATAATCTAAATTAATGTATGAGTACGAGGAAAGCAGAACGTAAAGTATAAACATAAAGCCGGATATAAATACATATATTCAGTATTAATTAACTTCACTTAAAACGGAAAAAAATGTGAAAACCATAATTTACTACTCAATGAAATAACAGAATTCCATAAATTCTGTTATTTATTAACAAATCGCACCTATCGAAATTATAGTTTATATTCCATAAATAAAAAAATCTATCATTAGTTTCAATTTAGTTTAATATTAATTTTAATACTACTATACTTTGGTTTATGAACCAAAATAGTAAAATTATAATTATATTAAAATAAAAATATAAAGCTGATCCGATAGTCTGAATTTTCGGTAATTCGATTCTCTTGTAACCACAGAAAATTAATTCCAAATTTGTGTAATACACATGATATACCTTATAGTCCTTATCGACTACTGCTTCGCTAATCCGGTTCAGTTGTTATAGACATTTCTACATTTCTGCTCGTTAACGTAGTGAAATAAATCATAATTATTAGTTACGGGCATACATGTAGGTATATTTTATTCGCCTATATGCTTTGTAGGCTATTTACTTATACACTTTATCATATATAATGTGAATGTGTCATTTTATTTATGAGTTAACTTAATGGACAACAGATTATTGTTCAGTTTTAATTAAATTTCTGTTAATATGAATATATTTGCATATATAGAAATTTTCTTGGTTTTTTAATATGATTCCCAAGATCCGAAAGTTTTAGTAATCCAGATTGATCAAAATTTTAATGAATCCGGATTAGCGGAGTACTAGTTTGTGTGTTTATATAGGAAAAATTTCTAAAACTGAAAAAATATTAAGACTGTAAATAAGTTCCATTTTGGGGGCAACTCGTAATATTGGTAGTTACGAAAAAATTGAATAAAAGAATATAAATAAATATGAATACTTAAAGGCTGTTGAAGTAAGGTTATGGTGCAGAAGTATAACTTGTCCGTGGTTTAAAATAAGTTAAACACGAGGTAAGTAGGACTTAATTACGCATATTTGCAAATCAAGACCTTTTTTAGCTATAACTGAAAAAATGTTTGCAAATTATAAATGATATATTCTTTCAGATAGTTTTTTTTTTAAAGTACATGTTGATAATTTTTGTTTTTTAACAATAAGACCAGTACAGCAAAGAATACAATAGTTATTAATAATTCACAATAAATTTATTTTTTAATCTTAAATATGAAAATTCATTTTAGCATAAGG